TTTCACTCGATAAACATCCTACAATTTTGGTGTCTATCTATGACTATCGCAGTCAGCATTCCTCTTTTATTGCTGGAATTTGGAAAAGTGTAGTTTTTACCAGCTACCCCATCTCAAGATCATACTGATGGCCTTTAAGGGGACACGTCAACAAAAAAATCGATTTTTATTTTTTCGATTTTCTGAAAGAATATTATTTTAAAAATATTTCTTTAAATTTTGGTAAGGAGCCGCGCATTATTTACGAAACTGTAGTAGTTTAAACGGAGCGCGCCGTAGCGCTCCAAGTATGTTACCAAAACTTTAAACGTTAATTTCTCCTATTCGCGTTTTTAAAACGGTGGCCCTCGCTGCGTCCAGACCATTTATCCAATCCTTACCAAATTTTGTACAGTAATACTAGATACACGTATCTAGGGATAATATTTTTCGAAAAAATGCCAATTTTTTTTTTCTTCTTCAAAAACTCGGCGATTTGTCTGCAAAAATGTCAATTTTTTCGCAAAAAGTCGACTATTTTGAGAAAAATTAAAAAATCAAAATTTCCTTTCATTCATTCCCTGCGCCAACATCTCTACTAAAATATAACACTCAGTTTTTTTGTTTATGATGAACCAATTTTTGCCAGTGAGGACCACCGAAAATCACCTTTTTTTTTTGGACTCTTAGAAAAGTGGCCACAGACAACACAATTTACAATATTTTTACACACAAAAAATTGTGAATATAGTTCAGATATATAACTTACATATACCAAAAATTTGTATTGATATTAATAAAACTGGCTGCAAAAAAAATTCACAAAAAACCGCTTTTTTTTACACTCGAAGGTGACGTGTCCCCTTAATATATATGATAACAATATTATAATACATAAATCCTACAATTATCTTACTCTTGAAATTGTGCATTCGTCATACTCTCTCGAAATTTAATTTTTTGAAGGTTTCACTTTTAGCACGTGTGATCTGCACACATGATTTTTTTTTAAATTGTCGCTTCTTTTTCTTTATTAAGTTATGAGTCGCTTGTATAATTATAATTTAGAAGATATCGGCTGTTACTGTAGGCATGAAATACTTTATAATATTATGGTGGGTAGAGGTAAGGAGTATCATCTCTTATGGGAGAAAATTTTAAAAAGTGTCCATCGTATGCCATAAATAACAGTTCAAAAACCTTCCAGAATGGCGCTGGTGTAGACAAAGGGTATGGTATGAATGTAGCAATTGTAAACGAATTGAAGTATGCCGAGTTAAAAAATTTAATATTATTGGCGACTAAAGTAGTTAATTATGGAAAATTTCAACTACTTGCGTAGTACAAAATAATGTAGTAAATATAACCTTAAAGAATTATTATGAGAAAACGTGTAGCTAGAGTGATTTTATTTCATAAACTGTGAATAGTACGTTCATTGATTTTTTATCATTTAATTTTATGAAAAAGTATGTGAATAACAAAACAGTTATGGGTAAAATTTGTGTTGTGAAAAGTTGTCCAAGTCGGCGTAAATCCAAAAACAGAAAAAATGATTCGCCTCAGCCTTTTTCGTATTTTCAATCAACAGTATGTAAATCAATTTTGTATGAAAAATTTATTTTATAAACTATTGCTCAATCTTCCTCTAATAATATTTGACACTTCTTTTAAAATTTACCCTGAAACTACTGGGGCGCCACCCTAATTGAATGCATTTTGACGGACACTTTTCATATACAGAGATGATACTCCTTACCTCTACCCTCCATAAATAATAATATATCATGTTATTAATTGGTCGCCATATTGTTGAAAAAATTCCCATTTTTAAATAGACATGTGACAGTTAGAGTTTCTTTTCGATCTCGTTTATATTACTTACTTCAATAATTTTTTACCAAATTTACAATATTTTATATATATATATATATATATATATATAATATAACACCATATTATCGCGCAGTTGAGTGCCACCTATGGAGGGTAGAGATAAGGAGTATCATCTCATATGGGAGAAAATTTGGAAAAGTGTTCAGCGTTTTCTGTCAATAACAGTTCAAAAACCTCCCAGAATGGCGCTGGTGTTGACAGAAGGTAGAGCACTATAGAGATGAGTACTCTTATTCGCCATTTTTGCTCCTACAGAGAAGACACCAGTATGGTTTCGTATAGTAAACACGTTTGTTCCCAGACTTACCGGGCCTCGTGTAGAGGTCCGGGGGCATGGGTGAGGCCAACCGGGCGCGTCTTCAGGTGGCGGATAGAAGGACGTCCAGGGGGGAAGTTGGTTTTTCGTGGCGGGGAACGGAGCGTCATTGGCGACTTCAACCCCGAGCACGAGAGCCTAAAGAACCCCGGGATAGCGCAGGCTATAAGGGACTCGGCTGACGTAAAAATCGGCCTAGGGGACCGAAAGCCACGCCGCGGACAACTCCCCAAGCTAAGGTGGAAGCAATCGTGCCGATGGCTGGATGGCACTTGGGTAAAGTGTCGCAAACGATGCCCTTGGGGTACCGGGCAACCCCCCATTCTATCTTGCCTTATCACCGCAACAGGCTCTGTGGTGATGGACCGCTTATTTTCTGACTACTCGTGGGACTCTTATGGAATCCAACAAAATTACACAAACAAAAACACAAGCTGGCGTGGGGACTTCGCAAGAAGAACCCACTCCAGTCGCCAAAGATTTGATCTCGAACGCTGGGGATGAGGGATCGGCGAAAGCCGGACCCACGGACTCATCGCCCAAAACAACTAAGAAGAAGAAAAATAGAAGCGGGGCTGCGAAGAGAAAGGCACGCAAAGCCAGATTGGCTTTGCAGGGCCAAACCCCCAAGCCGCACCGCGAGGATGAGGAGAAGGGGGCAGCCGATGGTCAGGGCCCTACCAAAAGGCCCAGACCTTCGGACAACACCCCGCCGGAAAGGTCTGCGGTAATCAAGAAGAGTAGGATCGCCATAAGTCCTACTAATTACGCAGATGCTGTGGCTGGGGATATGAGGCTGACCATTGCGCCGGTTGATTTCCCCGAAGTGACACTCGGCCAGGAGCAGGGTGTACCACTAGTGCGGGCACTCCTTAGGGCGCTGGACTCAATCCCAACGGATCAGGTAGTCCCGTGCTTCGAGAGGACCCGTTACGGGCAGGGAGTCCTTTGGATAACCTGCTCGGACGACAAGGCGAAGGCATGGCTTAAAGCCATTGTCCTGAGCCTTAAACCATGGGAGGGAGCTCAACTCCAGGTGCTGGAGAGGGAATACCTCCCGAGGCTGAAGAGGATGACGGCGGTGTTCCTCGACACGGACGAAGACATGCCGACTATCTTCAGGAGACTCCAGAGGCCGAACCCAGGACTCTCAGCCTCCTTGTGGAGGGTGTGGGACCGAAGGGCTGTCCAGGACAAAATCCACGCTGTATTAGGTGTGGATGCGGTCTCTTTAGGCCAATTGAAGAAGCGGAAGCTCGCCCCTCACTTCGGTCTGGGCAGGGCCTATTTTTACGAAGCCCCGGTCGGAGCGGAGGCGGGAGGGCGAGCACCTGCTCCTGTGGAAACCAAGAGTGATCCAGGAGCGGACGCGCAGCGGGGGGGTCCGGTGGAGTCGACTGCGACTACAGGGACCACCGCTACGCAGAAAGCCGTCCCCAGGCTGACGCCGAAGGAGCGGGAACCTGCCAACGCGTCACAAGCGCCTACTGACGCAATCGATGCGGGGGCAAGGGCTCAGTCCGACGGAAAAACGGAGGGCGGGGCGAAGTCCAGAAGTAGACCGCCCAAGGCCATCGCCCTGGTCAAGACGACCCGTGAGGAGACCCGGCGTGTTGTCCAACGGACCATTGCTGGGTCCCTAACGGGGCCGTCCATAACGCCCCAGGGGACCATAGAGGCCCCGAAGGCAGTTGGGAGACAGGGGATCGAGGACGATGGCCGGTAGCGTGACCTGTTGTCCTCTTCCCCATTCCACCACCTATTTCCAGTACCTATCCCCTCCTTCTCTCCCTTTCCCTCCCCCTCCTCTTCCCTCTCCCTAAACCAAAAAAGAGGGAAAAGGGCGCACACGCCATCACCTAGGGGGGGGGGTAGCGTGCCTCCAACTCTCTCAAATCAATCTGCAACACTGCATAGCGGCCTCGGCGGTTCTTAGCCAGAACCTAGCAGTGGAGCAGACAGACATATCCCTCATACAGGAACCCTGGATCTGTGGTGAACTTGTTAAAGGGATTGATCGCAGCATGGGGACATTGGCTTATGACCCATGCGAACCCGGCCCAAGGGCGTGTGTCTTTGTATCCAAAAGGCACCACGCCCTGAAGCTAAGCAGATTCTGCAGCAGGGACCTTGCGGTGGCCTCGGTTAGGTTAAGGTTGGGAGGTGGGCTGACTGACCTTATCGTTTGCTCAGCGTACTTCCCCTACGACTCTGCCGAACATCCGCCTACAGAGGAACTGAGGGCCGTGGTGGAACACTGCCGCAGAGAAGGGCTGGACCTTGTGATCGGGTGCGACGCTAACTCACACCATGTCGCATGGGGCAGCTCAAATATAAATAAGAGATGGACGGCTTTGCTGGAATACCTCTCGTCGTCGAATTTGGAGATCCTCAACAGGGGATCCAGACCAACCTTCGTCACCTCGAGGAGACAAGAGGTGATTGACTTAACACTGGGCACTCCCAGGGTGGCTCGGTTGCTGGAGGAGCGGCGAGTGGACAATGAGGATTCACTCTCGGATCACCGCCGCATC